ATTCTGCAAGCCTGCCTCCTGGCTGCCAGTACTCAGTCCTTCTCTTTCCATGAGTTTAGAGTCCTCAGCTGCTTCCTCTCTCCATGTCCTCATCTCTGCCTCAATCTCTGGTGTCGCTGCTTCTCTGGATAGGGTCCAGTATTCTGCTTGTGCTCTTCTCCCTTGATGGTCCTAGGGTCCTCTGTTTCTGGACTGTAAGATTAATTACTTACCACATTTTTGTTACAAAACTTCTACCTTTACAGTTGTGACAGTTGTAATTAGTCATAATTACAATCACTCACTATTGAATCATAACAATCTTATCCTCATATCTTTTTAACTGACACATCTAGACAAGATGAAAACTGTTAAGTGGGGACTCTGTCCTTCCCCATACACTCCTAAACTAAACCCCCTCTTGAAAACTTATAAGTCAGTCACTTTGTGCCCTTATCACCCCCTCATTTTAGGTAGCCAATGTCTAAATTGCCCACTCCTATCTACCACATATACAGAGGGGATAGGATTGATACTCGATATGAAGACTCCTTCCTACTCTGTTGGTATTTTAAGCTACTACATCGATGAGTATAGGTCAAGTTCATCAAATTGTAGCAATTTACACTCGTTTCCTTTATCAAAAATTGTATATTTTTAATATTCCTCTAGTCAAGTTCTGATTATCAAGCCATCAAGGCTAGGTCAAGTGGGTACTATCTTCAGAACTGGGTGTTCTTCTGCATCTCCCCTGACTTCATCTCAGTTGAATGCTTCACTCTCAGCTCTAGCCTTCCATGTCTATATCCTTGTCCATGGACTGAGGAGTCCCCAGGTCTCACCTCACTTAGGATCAAATATACCTTCCTCTTCTCTCTCTCATCTCCAGGTCAACGGGAGTCTATGGAATATGTTTGAACTCAGCCCATTTCTTCACTGCTGCCTTTCCCACTCTACTATTCACTAGTAGAGTTAGGTGGCCAATCTTGGAGTGGAGTTTGTTCTGAAGGGACTTGATTGATTGCCTTGATGGTTTTCCAGCAAAGAACTTGCTTATTCTTGTATTAGCCAATCATATTGCCATTTTTGTTTTGGGTTTTCTTGCTGATCTTTCTTTGAAGATGTATCTTCTGTTGCTCTAGTTGTTCCAGGCCAGACTGCTTGTCCTTTCTAGTGGGAATGTCACACCTCAGAAGGTTCAGGATGGGGCTCAGGATTCCACACTGCAAAGGCTCAACAAGAAGGCTATTTCACTGGGCAAGTTCTAGAACTCCTTTTAGGTATACCAATCAGTTACAGGTTGAAGTTGAGCTACAAGAGTTCTGTAATCATGTTTCCTGACATTCCTTTCTATCCCACTCAAATGTCTATTTTACAATAGTAGGCAAGGGAAACCAATATTCATAAGACATTCAAGCATCTTAGTATTATTTTCCCTCTTCAGGCTGTGCCTCGATCCCTGTATGATAGAGCCCTATTGTTCCAAGTTTGAGCATACATCAGTTTCCTCTGTCCCATTTAGCCTATTCAAACCTGTCTCAGTGTTCCCTTATCTATCTTGTTCTTTCACCACCACCCCCCCTTCTTGCATATTGCCCTCCCTATGAATTTCATGCTATCATCTTCCACTTTTACTAGATTTATGCTTTGTATATGTCATGATGTGATTGTTAATGGATGTTTGCAGCTGCTTCTTCTCATTTTGTGCCCTGACCCATAAGCAAATGAAGGTCCTGAAAGCTTTGCTACATTCATGCCATCAAGGTCAACTCTACTTTGACGAGGCAGGTTTTCCTCAGTAGTATTTTGAGTGCCTTCTAGCTTAAGTAACTTATTATTTTTGGGGTGAGTAAGTGACGTCGAGTCTGTTCTGATCCATAGTGACCCAGTATAAGGTTCCCAAGAAGCAGCTGGTGAGCTTGAACCTCCAGTAGGGTTTCCAAGGAGCAACTGTG